AAGAAACTTTTCTAAACTCCCTTTTAACAGGATGAACCCTCCTCCAGAACCAGGTTCAGGGAGGGACATCCATCTGCCACAACCCACTGGGAAACATTTTAGCCTAATTTTAAAGGTATTAACTACAATGTCTTTGTTTTGTTATTGTCCATCCCTATTAGGAAAATGAGAGCCAGCACATGTAGAGGTGACCAAAGATACCAGTATCTTCACTGTACACAACATAAAAGCAATGGTATGATTACAAAAGACTGGACTTTCCAAATATTTATCAACTTTCTGCAGATCCCTCAGACATATGTTTGAAAAGTGTAGCAATTTCTGATTCATAAATGGTGACTGCTATTTTTGGGAAATCAAATCAAATTCTGGATTTAAGCTTGATATTTGGCACACTGTCACAAAAGGTACCAAATTCTGAAGAAGATGCAATTGTAAAACATTTAGCAGATAGTGGACAAATAAAAAGAATCACAAGAGTTTAATAAACATGTAACCTTTATTTGATATACAAAAAAAGACATTTACACCAGTAAGGGGACTTTAAACAGGTAGTAGGAAAATGCTGATAATGAAGCACTAAAGTAGGAGATGTTTGTGCAAAGCTGTTCTGTTCCTGCAGAGGTGCAGTGAGCTTAGTGGTTTGTGTAAAAAAACAAAACAACACCAATGGGTTTTTTTTGTTAAATATGAAAGCGGGACAGGTAGTGTTTATTATGGTAAAGTAACATGCACCATTAGTTTGACTGCAGTTAACCTGTAGAGGTTACATTAATAATTAAATATAATCAAATTAGTTTTCCACAGGAAGTACTGCACTGAGGTACCGACATGAGGAATTTGCATGGCTAATGATTATAATTCAAACTAAGCTGATCAGAGAGAAGCAGGAATGAGCTGTGGCTGTGACTCACTCTAACGACAGCTCAGATAACTGAGTCATTTAATATCCACATTAAGTAAATAAATCCTTATTTAGCTGCTAAACACACCTACTTAAAAGCCATTTACTTTGACAAGGATGGTTTATGTTCTACCAGAAGGTCTTGGCAGACTAGCTCTGTGGCTTACAGCTGAGTGGGAGTAAAACAGTATTTTAAATGGTCTACTTTTAGTTTAACAAAATATTTCTAAAAAAATGCAATTCGAAGCTATCAACAATATACTCTGGATATAGAAAAAAAATCTCTGTTCATTGGAAGATGAGAATAGGCAGGTCCACATTCAGAGGACGATGGAACTCAAACACATGACATTTGCATAGTTCCTGAGATATGAAGGAGTTTTCCTGCTGCTACGAACCCGATCTGAAGGTTCAAGGAGCCCATTTTTCAGTCTAGCTGTCCCCCGTGTGTCTTCGCACAGGGTGAAATTTTCCTGTGGGGTCGGGAATGAACCACTTGTCCCACACATCAGTAAAGGAGGATCCTCGCCCCCAGGGCTTATAGTGTCCGTTCCAATGCAGGAGTTTGGCAGCTTTCACAAACTGGGAAGAATAGCGGCTTCCAGCACCTGTTACGCCTGAAAAATGAACAGAATTGTTTCTTTTATTTAGCATATTTAACACTGAAAGCACAAAATATAATCCATTATTGTATGAAGAGAAACATTTTTTCACCAAAACAGGACCATCCTGTATGATCATCAAACATGTGATCTGAATACTTTTATCCTTCACAGAGTTTTTGCACAATTAAAAGTCACTTAATGACATCAAAAGGTTGCTGTAGGACTAGTCTGACACTGACAATTTGCCTCTTTGCAGAGACATTTGACCACACTGGCATGTATTAGTTAAAAGTGAAGACAAGGCTAGGAGGTGGCTGTTTTAAGTCAGTTACAGCAAAATACTCAGACTAATGAACAGCCTCCCATATATCTATCTGGATTGTTTTGGTGTGATTTCCACCATTTTAAATATATCAGATGTAGAAATCTCTGCTTTTTTCTTGAACATAATGGAAGTGTCTTATTATGTGGTGGTCAACATGGAAAAACAAAACTAAATTCGTGCTTTCTTCTGAAGAGCGAAACAGTTGATGGGTGAAGTCAGATAAAAGAGTAAAAGAATAGTTCTTACATTTAAGTCATTATGGCACCCTAAGCTCCACAAGGTGCCATTTAGATCCATTATATTCTAAAGAAGGCAGAGAAATCTACAACTTGGCACCATGAAAAAAATTACCTATTTAAATGATTTACCCCCAAGTAATTTACATAGTATTCATCTGGCCTTGCAGATGACATAAATAATTAGATTCTGAGGCTAAATGTGTCTTTAAAAGCTTGTCAAGCAGCCTGTGTCTTGTGGATGTTTCTGATATCTCCACGTTGGACTTGTTCTTGAATCAGCAGCATTAACGTTGATCAAAGTGCAACGCTGCAAGTGAACAAGAACACTGTTGTGATGTCATAGTTTTATGACATGGAAAAAATAAACCTGCTGATGTTCACTCAGGAAAAAAATTTTTTTAAAAAAGTTTTGGAGTTAGATTTGAGGGTTAGAACGTGAACGTGGTTAAGGTTAGGGTAACGAGCTATAGTTATGGTTATGGCGTTAAGGTTTTGTTTGTGGTGTTTCCACTTCACAAACTATGACATCAAAACAATGTGATTGTTGGAAAATCCATTTTTGGTTTGTTCATTTTTAAAATTAGAAATCAACCAGAACTTACCAAGGTGTCTCACGTGCCACATGGGGTCAATGCTAGAGTGGCGTTTGTAAAAAACAATGAGGAGTGGAGGAGTGGTAACACTTTCTGCGAGGGTTTTAGCGTATAGATCCTCCCTGAGAAAAGGAAAACATCACGGCTTTAAAACAAACAAAGAGATTCACTGGATTAAATTTTGAGGTACATGTACAATGACAATAAAGGCCTATTCTATTCTAAATTCATGTTTTGTAACTAACAGTAGGATTTTTTTCCTTTGTTTAAAGTCCCTTCATTATTGCGCCAGTCTGAGTCACTTACTGTGTGTTGAGCTCCATCCAGTGCTCCAGCTGCTGGCTGATGTTTTGGTTCTTCCATTCAGTCAGGTTGGCAATGAAGACCCCGGGATTGAAAGAGCAAGTGGTGGCTCTCATCCCCAGCTTCTTAATAGCTTCTTTCTTGAAATCCAAGAAGCCAATGTAATTATTCTGTTAACAGAGATTTGTCATCTAATTAAGCATCACAGTGTATGATATTCTTAACTTTTTGTTTTACTCTGAAAAGCTCTTGTGGGTCATGCCCACCTGATTTCCCGCACCACGAACAATGCCTTTGGCAGATGCCGAGTCACAGTCATCAGAGAAGGCTGCGGCATGTCCCGGTTTGAGGTTGGTTTCATAGAGCTCCTGAATGTCACCTGAGAGACAACAAAAAAGAATTTACTGATCTTACAAAAAAAAAAAAAAAAAAAAAGGGCCTCATTTCATAACCAAATCTCTTCATTTCTGGAGACTTCTCACCTTGTACGATGACATCATCATCCAAATAGATAGCTTTCTCTGCTTCGGGAATGTAAGCAGGAAGATAAAACCTGGCAAAAGTCAGCTGAAAAAAATACAGTTAAAACAAGTTTTAGCTAGTGGGGAAGGCATGCAAACAACATGTGTATGCCTGCAGTTGTCTTACTGGTTTTGCAGCCTCCGGGGTATGAGGATCCTTAGAAATCTTCCCATTAAGTAACTCAGGCTTAAAAATTACTATCTTATATTTGACACGGTTTAGTCTAGTGTTACTCAGCCATGCTCTGTAAAATAAAGAAAAGGACAGGTCAAATATGACCAAGTTCACAAACTCCCGCCTTTCCGCACCTAACGAGAGAGACGTGCTGAAATATCTTACTTTAAGTGAGTGACGGTTTCATTCAAGGTCACAATGGTGAAGACAACATTGGCTTTGCTGTTCCTGTACACACTGTTCATGGCAGCAACAACAGCACCAAGTCTGTCCTCAGCAGCGGTGATGAGAACAGGAATCTCCTCACCCGTCCTTACCGAATTCAAGTCTGGAGACAGTTCAGACTCAAAGGGAAGAATCACCCCTTCATCTGCACATAAAGGCACATTTAAAAATGCATTACACCAACTTTTTGTATGGCTTTACTTAAATTCACCTAAGTGCTCCACGCAAGAGTGTGTGCCCCACACTACAGTGAAGACTCGAACACAGAGATAATGACCATACCTGGCTTTTCTGTGTGCAAAAAGTCACTGAGATTGAGGAGATTTCGCTGGACTATGATGAGGAAGGCAACAGCCAGCAGCACAAGAATGATCACGTTAACTGAAAGACACAGTAAGTATATAGTCCTCTCATTATTATTATTATTACTCTGCAAATTTTCTATTTCTGCTTTTCACACACTCTGCAGAACTAGTTACAGCCAAGGTGCAAATGATTCAAACTGACCTACCTCTCCTCAATCCCATAGTAATGATCTCATCCGTCCCTCCAGCACGTGAAAGGAAAAGAAAACAAACCAAATAATAAAAAGGTTAAAACATAAACATCAGAGGTGGCTTGAGCGCAGGATCATCTGGCAGTTAATGAGGTCTGCTGCTGTACCGCTGCGTGGCAGAAACCTCATAAACACGAGAAACCACCCGCAAACTAGCGGACATTAGCGTCGGCTTTTAGTACGTTAAAACAAACAAACAAACAAAAGTCTTGCAATTTTTGCCGAGTTTTAAGAAGAATTCACTTTGAAGCCAAACTGCCAACTCAACATCAACAAATTCACCCCATCCACACGCCCTCGCGTAGTAAGAGGTGTCTCTGATGTGCCTGACTGAAAAACTACATCTTGTCGCGTTTTACTAACACAAACGTGTCATAAGCTACGATATATATATATATATATATATATAT